TCCTTAGTTGTTGATTACAAGCATTTCCCCACAATCCACCATCAACAGGAGTGCTTGGGGCTTGGGAGGAGTCCTGCTGGTGGTCAGGGAGGAGCCTGGGATTGATCAATTAGCTGACCTGGGTTGAAGGAAGTGAGTTCAGACGCTGGCTGTTATTTTATGTTGTGCTGGAAGTTATTTTAACTGTGGGCTACGATTATTCCAGTCCAGCTCACTGGAAGATGTCACACATGGCTGCAAAGGTGCTTTTATGATGTGCTGAGGTGGAAGATTGTTCTTTGGGATGGAGACGCGAGGAAAGGGAGTCCTAGGTCTAGCCGCATCCTCCAGGCAGTGGCCCCTTGACATGGCAAAAGGCGGTTCTCCCTCTTGCTCACATTCACAAATGTCAGAAGAAAAACAGCAGACTCCAACTTTCCAAGAAAGGGCTTGTCTTTATTCAAACCAGTTCAACCAGTTCGCAGACTTCTTTTTTTATCTCTTTAAGTTATAAGCACGGAGCTTTCTGGGTTCCTGGGCAGGGCAGTGAGGTAATCGTTAAACTCCAGGGGTTTATTTCTTTGAGCACAGGACAGAGAAACGTTCCCCTGCAGCAATTAATTGTCATTGCTACTCAGGACTCACTGTCAGCCAGAACCTTCTAGGAACCGGCTCTGGGGCCCGGGAAAGTACGGGATCAGTGGGTGGTCCGCGTGTCAGCTGACTCCCAACACGGTTCCAGGCTCCCGGATCTGGGGAGCGAGTGACCCAGTCCAAGTCCCTGTTCTCCAGCGTGCCCTACGTGTGAAGTGAACGTGCTGGAGTTTGACGATCGCCAGGTCTAACATCCTGCGAGTTTGGAGTCTCGCAGGGAACCCGGGGCGGGGCTCGGAGCCGGGGGTTCCAGGGCAGGATCTCTTCCGCTCAGGCTCAGCCTCCCAATTTGGCGCCTTCCTTGCGGAGGCCAGTTCCTCGGTTCTCCGGCAGCCCCGGAGCCGGCCGCTTCCTCCTCCGCCTCCTTCCTCTTCCTCCCCTGCCTACACACCTCCTCCTTTCCCTTCCTTCTCCGCGGGCTCCCCGCGTCCCGCGTCTCCTCTCTTCCACCCGGGAGCGCGGTGCCCGCGGTGCGCCCACCTTGGGGCCGCGCAGCTGCCGCCCCGGGCGCCCCTCCCCCGCCGGCGGGCACCCGCCTCCCCATACCTTACATGGACAAATGCGTGCGAGCAAAGTCAGGAATTCAGGCCCCTTACGTCAGCCTCCAGCGCTCGGGGCACCGCACGGGAGACCGAGGGGAGGGGGTGGGGAGGAAGGAGGGAAAGGCACCAACCAGCAGCCGCTCCAGCCCTGCCGAAGTTTCACTTTTTGTCTGTGGGTTCGCTCCCGGGCCCCACGCGAGCTTTTCCCGGGATAA